AAACAACGCCTTAAGTAGCATGGATACGATGACAGGATCCTACAGATCAAGAGGGGACTGATAAGACCCGAAGAGAGAGGACTGCCGATTAAATCGCAGCCATGGATCAATACTCCCGGCACAGTTGGAGTAATGAGAATACCAGCGGGAAGTTAACAGACTTCAAATAGGTCTATATAAAGAAGTAACAAATTGTGATAATGAATGGGTGATAGGAGGATACAGAATAGGTGAATTGCCTAAGGCGGCTCACAATTGGTAAAAAAATCGACTTAACTAGTTGTAGTGTAATGCTAAGAATTGCTAGGCTCGCTGACGATGCCGGACAAGGTGCGTTCCTCTTAGATCCTTCTGGCAACATTAACAAGTTGCGAAAGCTAGGTCAAATAACTTTTTTGTGTGTATGTTCATGTTGAAGGTGAGAGAAATTGAGATTTCTAGTTTGGATTGCGGCTACGCGAATAAGACGCCTTAATGGACTGGCCAAACTTGCATTGACGCCAGTCAATTTGTTAAGTCATTTCGATTCGAGGTTTGGGCGTGGACTAAATACGATCGTTGGGAGGCTTTGCTCTGGATGCTCTGGATGTGTTAACAATTTGTATGTGTAAAGTTAATGTATGTGAGCTTCGTATAATGACATCAACCGTTGTACTTAGAAATAATAGTGTTTCTCTAACTTCTGCTTCACAGTATTCATATACTTTGGAGTCCTACTTTTCCTCGCAGTTGATAATAGTTCACTAAATATGCAAAAATACGATGTTACTAATTGACGCTTCTTAATTTGAGCAGATTAAAAGCATTTTAGTTACATACGAGATTCACTGCTTGTCCTAAGATCGGGATATAGAAAAGATTCCATTTTAGCATGGACATTAAACCTCAATAGAGCAGTATATAGGTTTGGCAGATTACAAACGAAGCATTCTATATCTATATCTGCCTATACATTTTCGTTCCATTTCCTTAATATTGGCCGTAGTTTTTGAGTTAGTTTGTAGGAAGGTAAGCATATCCACTTTCGATAATCCTTTTCCGTCCTTACTGTTCTTTCATACTCCCCGGTTTGGCCCAATACATCTTCATGGTTGGGTCCTTCTTTAGTACACGATATGTAGTCCTGTCTCGCAGAATAAATTCCATCTTCTCGGCAAATTTCTTTTGTCCATTTTTAATGTCGCTCTTCCCTCATCTGCCTCAAGAACTAATTGTTCATTCATTTATAGGGTTTTGCTTATCATGGCAAATCTGTTTATGTGTGTTGGTTCTTGCTGTGTCAAGATCCTTGGAATTAATTCCATCTCCCGTTTTGTCTCTTATGGAACTTGTTGGAGATATTGATAACCACCACCAGGATGCCTTCTAGAGGCCTTCTGTCATTTCGAAGTGAAAGTTGAGTTCTCTCTTGAGAATCGTGGTGGTTTCGGGATCAATAGGGAGTGACTATAAATTTATTACTTTCTTCCGATCGTCGTGTTGATAAGTATGTTTTGCCACCTCGGCTACCACTTCAACTGCGCGTACTGGCTTTAATGTAGGCTATTTTATAATCCCGCACGCAATTTATCGTCGTGTCAGCTCGCATTTCAGCAAAGAAGGATAATGGCATTAAAGTAAATTTTAGAGCGTAGAATTTTGATACCTTAGATAGAAAAAGAGGCCATATCAAATATTGGAATCAAATAACAGCTTTAGGACGTTAAATACGTAGCAAGATGCATTGTCGGCATATGAACACTTACTGTGCGCACGATCCTTTCAGGAGAGGCTGGGTGTCTGATTCCGGGCACGCGCAGTGTTAGTGTCGTCAGAGTATCTAGGGCCAGAGGGAGGGCTGAATAGCCAATAACAATAGCGATGAAAAGGGAGCAGATAGGATCAGCGATGTTCCATCCATAAGTTGATATTAGGTAGGAACTGATGATAACGCTGACGCTGCCTAGAGTGTCGGCTAAAACATGTAGGTAGACTCCTAAAGACATAAAATTATTAAAAGAACCATGTGATACATTTATTACGACGTGATTTATGTAGAACAATCCCTTGAAAATTCTTAGTCGACTTTAACTTGATAACATGTCAGGAAATATAATGATAATAATGATTATGCGGAATTATAAAATCGAAAAATTTATGTATATACTGGTATTGATTTTCATCGTTTGTAACTCGTACTATTTAGTTTCTCGGAGGAAATTGTAGTAACATATCGGCAGTAATATCGCTGTACTTTTATAAATTGTGCAAATATCTATTCACTTCAAGCATACTAATGAACATAACATTTTAGTTTTGGGTACAATCCACCTAGAATCGCCATCAGACATCTTGGACCATCCAATATTACCCATTAAGTTTAAGTCAGATCTACTCATAGACAAAGGACCAGGAAACGTTATAGTTTAGTTATTCGTTAGTATTTGTTTGCGGGTATTGATGAAACCCAAGCGAAGTCGAAGTATAGCTAAGCCGAATCCAATAACATCGTGAAGCACATTGATATTATTGCTGGCAATACTCAACAGCCAATCTTCAAAACATTAAAGCGACCTATGGTAACAAATGTCTTATTTTAGATTGTTAAATTGAACAAGATTTCTCGAAAAATGCCCTTTTTCAATATTATGGTATACTGTCTTACCACGCATGTTGGCGTCTTCTGCATGTTCTGTAGCCTCGCAGAAATGCAAGCCAATTCTGTCTTGGCCTGGTGCTCGTTCAGAACCATCTTGGAGCGGATGACCATGAGCATGACCCGGAGCGTGAGAGTGATAGTGCACGTGGGAATGCTTTTGCCCCAAAGTATGGCTATGTCCGTGTAAATGACCGTGGCCATACGAATGCCCACTTCTATCGGAATGGCTGTGAGTATGGCCCAACGCAGCTAAGCCAATCAGATTAACGAGAAAACCGAGAACTGAGACAGTCTGAATTAGAAGTAATTAGTTGAGCGAAATAAATACAATAGGAGCTGGTTGAAAAAAAAGATATATGCAAATGCCTGCACAAATCAGGGACATCAGAAATGAGTACTTGGATCAAAAAAAGAAATGATTAGATTAGATAATTGATGCTTAATTAATCCAGAAAAAATATTTATTAATAGTAGTATAAATATAAAGTATTAAATAATAATAAAAGTATTAATAATTCATAGTAAGTAGTATAAATCAAAATTAAAAATATATAAGAATTAAATAAATAAATTCAACTTCCGTAGACTCAGAATGCTTTATTTGTTGTAATGAGTGGACTCTTACCATAACATTTGACTTTCAAGGGAAACTAAAATAGAGGTTCGAAGATATGAAGACCAAGATGGTGTGGCCTTTTGTGTGGTCGCAGTCTCCTTTCGTTGTATAGAAG